GGCTCCCGCGGCACCCACAGTTCCAAGCGCAGGGTCGCGTCCGGATGTCCGTGGAGCGGCTCTTCCTTCCTCGTCCTCTGATTCGCTACCAACCACTTCCATTTCCGCAGAAAGTTCCGATCCATTTCCGCGAGGCGTGTCGCTGTAGGAAGCGCGCGCCAACCCTGTTTTGTTTCCGGGGGAATCTATTTTCCTGAGGGACGCTCGCACTTCCGCGTATTCCTCTCAGCCTCTGATTGGCTGGTTTTATGAATATATCAGAACACGAAAAAGAAGATTTTTCATGGCGCTAAAATAATATAGCGACTTAAAAAGGACTTATTATCGGCTCTCTATTGGATGCGATCTCTCTCACCAGCGTGTCTGAGGCGCGAACCCGAAGTCGCCGTAAACGAAAGATGATGCGCAGTCGGGCCCTTAAATGGGGAGCGCGCAGAAAGCGAGGCGTGTTGTATGAAAGGAGAGAAGGTTAGCACTCCCCTTGACAAGGATGGAAGAGACCTCCGGGTCTAACAACACGCATACGGTTAAGGCATTGCCACCTACTTCGTGGCATCTAACCACTGTTTTGCTGTGCGGACACAAGGGCGTGTGGTGCACGGGGGTGCATCGCTACACAATGTGTGCTGCACTTGTCCACACTGACACGTGGACGTGACGCGCGCGGGTGCATAGGCGGGGGGTGCGATAGAGGGGTCTGTGATACACGGCTGTGTGATACATGTGTGTTCCGCGCGGACAAACACCTATGCGACGCTACTTGCTCGACTCTGAGATGCTTGGCATTTTTTTTTAAAACATCTTTACTGGAGTATAATTGCTTTTCAATGGTGTGTTAGTTTCTGCTGTATAACAAAGTGAATCAGCTATACATATACATATATCCCCATATCTCCTCCCTCCCTATCCCACCCCTCTAGGTGGTCCAGAGCACTGAGCTGATCTCCCTGTGCTATGTGGCTGCTTCCCACTAGCTATCTCTTTCACATTTGGTAGTGTATAGATGTCAGTGCCACTCTCTCACTTCGTCCCAGCTTACCCTTCCCCCTCCCCGTGTCCTCATGTCCATTCTCTACGTCTGCGTCTTTATTCCTGTCCTATCCCTAGGTTCTTCAGAACCTTTTTTTTTTTTTTTAAGTTCAATATATATGTGTTAGCATATGGTATTTGTTTTTCTCTTTCTGACTTACTTTACTCTGTAAGACAGACTCTGGGTCCATTCACCTCACTACAAATAACTCAATTTCATTTCTTTTTATAGCTGAGTAATATTCTATTGTATATATGTGCCACATCTTCTTTATCCATTCATCTGTCGATGGACACTTAGGTTGCTTCCATGTCCTGGCTATTGTAAATAGAGCTGCAATGAGCATTGTGGTACATGTCTCTTTTTGAATTATGGTTTTCTCAGGGTATATGCCCAGTAGTGGGGTTGCTGGGTCGTAGGGTAGTTCTATTTTTAGTTTTTTAAGGAACCTCCATACTGTTCTCCATAGTGGCTGTATCAATTTACATTCCCACTAACATTGCAAGAGGGTTCCCTTTTCTCCACACCCTCTCCAGCATTTATTGTTTGTAGACTTTTTGATGATGGCCATTCTGATGGGTGTGAGGTGACACCTCATTGTAGTTTTGATTTGCATTTCTCATGATTAGTGATGTTGAGTGTCCTTTCATGTGTATGTTGGCAGTCCGTATATCTTCTCTGGAGAAATGTCTGTTTAGGTCTTCTGCCCATTTTTGGATTGGGTTGTTTTTTTGATATTGAGCTGCATGAGTTGCGTGTATATTTTGGAGATTACTCCTTTGTCAGTTGCTTCGTTTGCAAATATTTTCTCCCATTCTGAGGGTTTTCTTTTCATCTTGTTTATGGTTTCCTTTGCTGTGCAAAAGCTTTTAAGTTTCATTAGGTCCCATTTGTTTATTTTTATTTCCATTTCTCTAGGAAGTGGATCAAAAAGGATATTGCTGTGATTTATGTCATGGAGTGTTCTGCCTGTGTTTTCCTCTGAGAGTTTTATAGTGTCTGGCCTTACATTTAGGGCTGTAATGAGATGCTTGGCATTTTTCATAATACAAAGTGGATCACAGCTTTCTTGTATGGGTATCATTGCACCTGGGGCAGGTGTGCCTTCACCTCATCCCCAGCCACGGGGTGGGGGGCAGGGCCGGGGAGCGGACATCAGGACACCCAGGTGGCTTCCACTTCCTGTCAGTGTGTCTCAGCGTGGGAGCAGGAACGGGGTGGGGGAGGTTAGGCAGGTGACCTGGTGGTCAGACCAGGTCCCGCAGGTGGCTGAGGTCTGAGGCCTTGGTGGCTTCAAAGTTTCCATGTGCGGTCTCTTCAGCATCACAGACATTCGGGGGACAAATAGGAATTGAGCAGCCATCCTCCGTGGGACACTGATCCAGGTGGGAGAGGACCCCAGCCCCAGGAGCTCACATCCCGGACCATTCCAGAGCCTTAGTGTACAAATCCAAAGCAGACAACCTCTGTGCGGTGAGCAGAGCAGCCGGGAGTGGTCAGGGAAGGCGAGGCCAAAGATGCCCTGAACCAGGTTCCCCCTTTATGTCCAGAGCACAAACTGCTGTGAGTTTCAAATGCAGGGCTCATTTAAGGACCCAGTTAAAATGATGGTCAAAGTAAATAGAAGCAACCTGACCGACGATTTAAACAGAGTGGTGGCGTTCGGTCCACTCCGGCTCTCAGGAAACGGGGAGACGGGAAGGTGGTCGGCAGCCCCTCGGAGGTGCCGGCAGCAAACCCGGACCCGGACACCTAGGGTACGAGTGACCCACTCTCCACAGAGATGCCGAGGGAGAAACGGGGGAACCTGGAGGTTCAAGAAGGAAACACAGGCGGGGGCTTTGCTGGGGCCCCCGGTTCACACCAAGCTTGTGTGCGTGTGCACGGGTGTATACGTACGTATGTGTATATGTACCTGTGTGTACATACGTAGGCACATACACTTTAAGATATTAAGACGACTAGGGAAACCTGGACACTAGATTAAAGAATTCATATTTTACGTGTGAAAACGGTACTGGGGTAATGCTTTTGGAGAATTATCTTTTAGAGATACCATGAATTCACTGCTTAAATTATAAAACATTTGGGATTTATACTCAAATAACCAGGGAGGGATGCCTGAAACAAGAGGTTAAAAGTTTTTGAAACTGGATGATAGAACACAGGGATTTTCTCCACTTTTATATACGTTTGAAATATTCCACAATAAAGTTTTTGTTTTTAATATAAAAGAAGCTATTCCCCAAAATGTTAGTGGTAAGAGGCATCTGGGTGATTTATTATCTTTGCTTTTTTTTTTTTCCTGTTGATAATTAGCGCAAATATATAATCGTCATAGTAAGAAAATGGCATTTTTTAAAGACCAAGAACCTTCCGCTAGCGCACGTGGCACTGCAGAGCCTGCGCAGCAAGAAGCACCGCCTCGGGGCCCGCCTCCCACTCCTCAAGCCGCTACACGGAAAGAAAGGTAAACAGTTGTCGCGGGGACACAGTTACAAGACAGGAAATTCTTTATTTTCAAAAAGAGAATGTATTTTTACATAAATCTACAACAGAGAATTCAAATGTAGAAAAAATAAACTATATTCAAGAACACGGCACTCTGCACGCGTGCCCCTCCCCCCGGGGCGAGTCCGACACCGGAACCAACAAAACCCAAAGAACCTCAAGGTCTCGGAAATCCCGAGGCCAGGCCTCCACTACCGACGCGGGGCCTCAGCGTCCCCCGTGCGGATGCTGCCCACACGGGGGTTCTTTCACCGGAGCAACTCGCTCCTACAACAGCCAGCGTCCGTCCGCACGGCTTCTTCCCACGTTGGGGGCGGGGACGGCGGGAGGCTCGTTTCCAGACGCCGATGCGACTGTCCTCTCTGGGCCACAGCGGCCGCTGGGGGGTGGGCTGCCGCTCCCCCATCTGCAGGGACCCCTGGAGCCCAAGGACTGGCCCCGCCGCCCGGCATGAGGCAAGGGACGCACCGCCCCAGCAAAGGTCTCGGGGCCACAGGCGGGATCGGAACCCCAGGGTGGCCTGGCTGCAGGGAGGGGTCCCTGTGGACGGCAGCGGCTCTGCCACAACACTGCCCTGCAGTCCGGTGCGCCCCACACCCCACTCCCGCCGGCAGGAGAGAGGCCCCTGACCCAGCGAGCAGAGCCGCTGGGTGGGCGAGGAGGGCGGATGACACCCAGCTCCCTGCAAGGGGCCGGCTCCCAAGCCCGTGGGTCCTGCGGTTGGCGGCGGGGTCGGGCACCAGCCTGTGAGCCCCAGACCCGGGCTGCCCACACCCCCGCCCTCGCCAGCGTCCGCCACGTTCCACAGGACGACGTAGCAGGGTCCCCGGCGCCATCCCAACTAGGCCCCCCGCCTCCTTCCCGCGGCCCCACATCTACATGCCGTTAGCCCGCGGGGACGGCTGACTCACCCTGTGCTGCCCCGAACCCCACGTGGACAAGGAAGGAGTGGGCACATCACTCGGGGGACCTGTCTCATGAGAAAAATCCTTTCAACCTCCTGCCAACTGAGACTTTTTCTAAAAGAGCCACATGGAGGAAAGCTTTGCGTGAGAACTCGGCTGCCACACGCGCACACGACACTACCTTCATTACAGCCCGAGGCGCTGCCTGTAGTGTGACCACCCGTGGGATAAACGGAAGCCCTGAGTGTGGTCACCACGCCAACAGCACAGGGGCAACAATCCCCAAACACAGAAGGCTTTTACCCCGACGTCAGCGCGCACCGCTCTGCGCTTCCCAGAAGGACTCAGGACACGTGGCTACTGCTACAGGCGGGACAGTGTCTCCAGGGCATCTGCTGAGCACTGACAGGGGCAACCCCTGAGTTCGGGCGGGCCAGGCTGGCGACCAGAAGCCGTGGCAGCAACACAGCTGTGGTCACAGCGCTGGCACTGGGTAATAAAATCGCATAAACGGTACAGAACAGTTACTGGAAAAACACACAACTCGTGGTAAATTGAACTTCACCTTTTTGTAATAAAAAATTAAAAATTTCTGTTGACTCTCTTTGAACACAATACAGACTGGGAACTCTTCCCCGACGGTGAGAGCGATTGGTGAGAAACTCCACCAGCAACTTCTAAAATCCTCCAGTGGGAGACACGCCCCGGCCAAGTCATCTTCAGAGGCGGCCCAGGCCCAGGCCCCTCCGGTCCCCGGGCCTGGACCACGGGAGCCCCCCCGAGAGTCGCGCTCTCGCCAATCCGGGTGGGCTTCCCGACAGTCCCTCTGCACGGCGGGCCTAGCAGTCACTCTTCCAGAGCTTGATCGTCTTGTCGTTCTCCAGGGCAGCCGAAGCGATGATGTTCTCAGTCGGGTGACAGGCCGTCGAGATGACAACGTCTGGAAACGGACAGCCGACAACAGTTCCTTCCTTGGACCCAGCCCCTCCCCACAGGGCCCTGCCTGCGGTGCACGCAGCACACAGAGCCCAGGGCCCGAGCACGAAGACAGCAGGGGCTCCCAGCCCAGAAGCCAGCCCGGAAGCTGGGGCGCCGCACAGGCCGGGGGCACAGCTGGGGGGCCGCCGTCGGTCTCACGGTGTCAACACTGCGCCCTCTGCACCTGGACCAGAGCCCGAGGCTGCCCCCGTCCAGCAGCGCTGGGCCCCAGGACACCCCGAGCGGCCAACTCTGCGAGTCCACCAGGGCGGGGACAGCAGATCCCGCGAGCTGCCCCTTGGGGTTGGTCGGGTTAATGCGCTTGTAGCTTTTAAATAAAACGAGCCCCAGAATTTTCCCTCTGGCCTGAGTGGCTTCAAACGAGCCTCTGAGCGTCCTGCCCGCGCAGCAGAGGAGGAGCAACAGGCCGACGATGGAGGCCGAACGCGGTGCCGGCCGCCGGGGTCAGGCCCTGGGCCCCAGGCGGAGCTGCCTCCTTAGGGAGGAGGGTGTCACTGATCTGATTCTCAAAGGGCTCAACACCACTCTCCACTGAGCACGGGGGAAGAGCAGCGGCCCGGAGGGCAGCCGGGGGGATGGCGGGCGTCCCCGCTCCCCGCACCACCTCCACGCGGGACAGGCCACAGCGCCCGCGTGGGCTTTGGGGCTGGGCAGCCCGGCCGACAGGAAGAAGAGGTTAAAGGTTGTGGCCTCGGGATGCAGCCTCAGCCTGCGGGAGCCAGGACCAGACCCCGCAAGCAGCCCCAAAACGGGCAGCGTCCCCCAGTCACCCGCGGGCGAGGAGGCGAGGCGGCGGAGGCAGCCCAAGGTGCCCACGCGCTGGGTCGGGTTTCCCGGGGCACCAGGCGCAGGAGGACGGCGGCACAGATGCCGAGCTCACCTGTGTGGCCCTGAAGCTTCTGTACAATCTCCTTGGTCTGCAGGTTCCAGATGTAGACCAGGTTGTCCTCCGAGCCCGACACAATCCACTGGTCGCAGACGAGGGGGGAGAGAGCGGGGTCAGGGCGCACATGTGGACGGACAGTACCCTGCACCCCACGGCACACCCGCCCCCGTGTGGACCCCGAGCCCCTGCCCTCCTCCCGTCCAGAGGCTGATGCACGGCCCGCCACGCGCCTTGAGGCACTTCTGGGACAGAAGCTGTTTTCTCAACTCCATCGCCACGTTTGACATTTGCCGTGAGTCACGGCTCGTCACCGTCAGCTCCTTAGTCTGAGCCTGGGGGTTGGGCGAGGGCCGCCCACAAGGGACCAGAACCCACCGGGGACCGACTCCCAGGAAGCCTCGGCGTGACAACGCAGCCTGCGGGCCCCAAGCAGCCGGGACGGGACACCGCAAAGCAAGTGAGAGTCGCCAGCACTTGGTGTGGCATGACTTCATTTTGGTTAAAAAGCGGGAAATTCCTGCTTGTTTTGTGGGTGAGAGTCCAAGGCCCGTCCAGGGAGGGCCGGGAGCAGCTCCTGAGCTGGGGGCGACCTACCTTCCCTCCAGTGACGGAGAAGTTGGCGAATATGCAATACTTCTCGTTCTTGTGTCCCGTGTACGTCTTCAGGCACTGAAACGGCCCGGGGACACCCGCTCAGTCACCACCGCCCTGCGTCCCAGCAGCTGCCCCGCCCAGGAAGCCCACAGCCCACTGCACGGCTCTGAGGGCACCGTGGCCCGCCCCGCACAACCCGCCCAGGTCACGCTTTAACCAGGGTCGTCAGGCAACGTGCACCGAAGCAACACGACAGAGCCGCTTCCTGGGCCCCTCCGGCCACAGCCCACGCCCGCCGCTCACCTTGCCTTTGCTGTAGTCCCAGAGCTTCAGTGTGCTGCAAGGCAGAGGGGGCGGGTCAGTGCGCTCCCCCGCGGCCGTGCCACCCCTCCGGGTGCAGGTGCCCCGCACGCATGGCGTCCAGGGACCGTGAGGACACCCGAGCAGAGTGTGGGGCCTCCAGCATTTGTTAGTCAAAGACACTTTTCTAAAGGAAGCTACTCAGTGTCCCTAAGCCAGTAAGGGGTCCTCGCTGCTGCCAGAAAGGGACAGGAGAAGCCCCGTGTAGGGCAGTCCTTCCTCCTCCCATGGGGGCCGACCCTGCAAGCCCGCCTGAGGGCAGCCCACGATGCACAGGAGGCCGAGTGCCAACCAGCTGCCGGGAGGGCGGCCAGTGGCCGGTGACATCTGCCCGGAAGCATGTCGGGGGACAAGCAGGGTGCCCGGGCAGAACGGGTCCCCGCACCTCGAGGCCACCGTGCCCGCCACCGCCTCAGACAGGACGGGCCACGGTGACCACAGAGCCAATAGCCTGAGATCCAGCCCCAGCACAGACGGGCCCTCCCAGCGTGGCACCCACCTCCGGAGCCCAGCCCCAACGGGATGAATGTCTTTCACGCTGGGAATCCGGCCCCGGGGGGGGGCGACGGGCCTGGCCGCACGCCACGCCGCCGGGGATGGAAGCACTTACTTGTCCAAGGTCGCAGCCAGGATGTACTTGCCATTCGGAGAAAACTTCACAAACGACACGGGAGGGTTGTCATCATCTGCACGGAGCACAGAGATGGCTGCCAGCAGGGCACTGGCTCTGCCGGGAAGGGGGGCTCCCTCACCGCCACCCAGAGAGGCCACCGCCACCTGTGCCAACACCACCCCTCGCAGGCGTCCCCCAGCGCCGGCCACCTCCCTCACCCACTGCTCGTGCCAGCGTGAGAGCCAGGTCTCCCAGTGACCCCGTGACACTAGGGCTTCAGGAGCAAAGGCCCTGCAGCCAGTCGGCCTCAGGATCGCCTTCTTAACAGGAGGGAGTTTGCAAACACTCAGCTAAACCGAGAAACTAACCCCCTGAGAACACAGTGGCTCAGGCAGGCGCTCTCCGGTTGCATGGTTATAGCGGAAGGCGTGTAATTTCTCCCTAAAAAGCACCCTGGCGACGTCACAGCGCACCCTTGCTCCCGACACTTGGGGTCAGAGCGCATGCCCCGGGGTGGCCCTGGAAAGGCGGGTCAGAGGCCCTGCCGCCCTCTCAGCCGCCGGCACGGGAGCACGCGCCCAGGAGGCGCTGGGGCTCCGTGACGGTCCCACGCCTCCTCGGGAGGAGTGTGTCCCTGCCTGAGCCAAGAGAGCCCTGGACGCGTGCCCTGGTGGGGGGCCGGCGTGGCCATGTGTCCCAAGCACCAGGCGGGGAGCAGCACGCGCGTGACCACCTCGGGAGGCCCAGGCCTGCCCCCCGCGTACCGGGGGCCTCGGCTACCTCCAGCTGGTCCCAGACACCGAAAATGCCCATGAGAAGCAGGCGAGGGCCACCCGGTCACCGGGCCACACGGAAGGTCCCACCACCACCACCAGCTCATTCGACAGGAGGCAGCACCCAGAGGTCTAGCCAGGCTCCGACAGCGAGGCACCGCGGGGCTGGCCCGGCAGCGCCCGAGGTTCTAACGCCCCAGACCCAAGGTTAGAAACGGGACGGGACTCGGCTCCCCACCGCCCCTCCCGGCCCGGCCCCAGACCGCTCGCTGCTGCCGGCTGTCACCCTCTCCGGCCTCGGCTTCCCGCCCAGCTGCGGGGCGGCCGCAGGGACTGCCCGTGCTCGGCCGTCTGGGCACGAGGACACTTCCCAGCGGGCGGAGGTGGCCACCCAGGCCTCGGGGGGGAAGACAGCGCGACAGACACGGGGAGATGCCGCGGTCGGGGGAAGGACGCACATCAGAAGGGTGGCCCCCCTCGCAAAGCAAGAAAACCACAGAGGCCGCTGTGTCCCTCCCCGGTTCTACTGCTAAAGCCCTAGCCCGGCACCTCGGAGACAGCGCCCTGGAGGCGGACTAAGTTAAAATAAGGCAGGGGGCGGGGGGGGGGGGCCCAAGCCAGTCTGACCGGCGTCCCTGTCAGAGCAGGAGGTGGGGACAGCAGGAGCCCACGCAGCAGACGACCACGCGAGCACACGGGGGGGGGCGCCCAAGCCAGTCTGACCGGCGTCCCTGTCAGAGCAGGAGGTGGGGACAGCAGGAGCCCACGCAGCAGACGACCACGCGAGCACACGCTGAGAAGGCCAAGGAGCGGCCTCGGGAGAACGGCCCGGCCCAGCCCTGACCTTGGACATCTGGCCGCCAGGGAGTGGGGACGGGTCTCTGCTATAGAAGCCACGCAGCCCGCGGTGCCCTGTCACGGCGGTCCCAGCGCACTCTCACAGCCACGCTTGTTCCCAGGACAGCCGGGCGCAGGAGGCTCAGGTAGGTGCCCTGCCCTGGCGGCCCTGCCTGCTCAACGCAACACTGCAAAGACCTTCCCACTGAGTCAGTGACCGGACCCCTCCAGGGCTCCATCTCTCGAGTAGCCTTCCCAGGCCCGAGGGCACCCTCTGGCCACACACCCGCCACGCCCAGCAGCCGTCCAGGCCACGCTGTCCTTCCACTCCATGCCGCTCTCCCCTCCTCCCCAAGGCACAGCCCAGCCCCATGTGCAGAGACCTCAGGGCCCCTTGCCCACTTCCCCCCCACCCGACCTCTGCACCCCCAGCAGACAGGGCTCACTGAGGGCAGGGGCTCGACCCCATGTGCTCAAGGAATGACACAAGTGGAGGGTCCCCAAGGCCGGGGAGGAAGACAAGGGTCTGCTGAGCGCGGGCAGAGTCCGAGGGTCTCGCGGGTCCTTCAGAGGACGCCGCCGGGCAGCGCCACGCGAGGCCAGAAGGGAGAGCCAATCAGGAAGCAGCGGAGGGGAGACGGAACCGCTCAGGAGAGGGGGAGCCATCCCAGAGGAAGCAGGTCCAGCGGGGAGAAAGGGAGGCTTCCAGAGAACCACACGTGGCGGGTAGGAAGCGTGGGAGAAGCTGCCACAGCCAGCCCAGCAGACTGTCCCTTGGGACACGGCCCCCCTGCAAGCAGGAGCCGGCAGTACTCACCGATCAGCGTCTTCAGGCACTGGCCCGAGGCGGTGTCCCAGATCCGACTGCAAAGCAATGAGCACAGCAAGTGACTACAAGCGGCTTCCTACATTCCACGGCTCTCAATGCGGATGTTTCAGGACCAATCCACAGCCAGTCCTATCTCGCTTTTGCAGTCACCGTTCACAACCACTCCCTTGAGTCCCAGGGACCAGAATGGGCGCGGCACATGCAGGCCGCACACACACGTGTGCCCTTGCTGCCTTCATCACGGAGCAGCGCGCTCATCCCGACAGCGGGGACAGCCGGGGGGAACGACCAGCCCTCTCCGCACACCCACGGCCGCGAGGCCAACAGCCCGACCTGCATCCCTGCAGGGCTCTCCACGCGAAAACACGCCAAGCACACGGTCCCTGGGGCAGAGTGCTTTTTATAAAAGCAGGATATTGTAGGCACTTTTCTGGACGTCCCCTAGTTCAGGAGCAAGAGAACCCAAAGGGCCGCTATTCCCCAACGGGACGCGCCAGGTACCCTGTCGCTGCAACCTCAGTGTTTCTGTGATTTCTGCCAACACAACACCCTGTTTTGGGAACCATGGCAGTGTATCCGCGCGGACGCTTCTGGAGCACAGATGCCCAGCGATGGGGGCGGGCGTTGGGTCGAGGGCACGCGGGTTTTACAGGTAACAGGAACGCAGGGGTTATCGCCCAAGCGTTCACTCTGTCCCACCTGCAGCCCTTGGGAGCCAATCCCGCCCTGGGGGCCGCAGTAACGGTGTCTCGGGTTTTAACACCCAGAAACAGCACTCCCCCACTCACCGTTCATTTTAATTCTACTGGCAGAGAACTCAGTTTACGCTTCTCTAAGAATTTTAAATTCACTTTATCTAGTTGGAGGGGTTCTAAATCGAACTGCTTACAGCGTACCAGCCCAGGAGACGGGCATTCCCCACCGCCAGGATAAGGACGTGCCTGGTCCCCCGTCCCTCCCTCTTGGCTTTGTGTTCCTCTAGTTACATTTACCATTTCCTGCACACAGGCCTCGCTCTCTTGTTAATCACATTCTAAGCGCCCCAGTGCTTCTGTGACTCACGGGGGCACTTGTTCTCATCCACTAACTGGCAGCTCCCAGGATAGCGAAAAACTGTCAATTTGCAAACAGTGCCCTCACCAAATGCCTGTCCATGTATTGTAACTAGCAGGCTTGGTGGTTCAGAGCCTGGGTTCCAGAGCCCGAGGTGTGCTCCGGACCCTGGCTCTCTCGCTGACCAGCTGGGGGATGGCGGGCAGGGGCTTATCCCTGCCTCACAGCTTCCCAACTGAGGATCGGGGATGGCGACCATCCAGTACCCGAGTCACAGGACGGTTATGAGGCTTAAATGAGTCCCTATTTGTAAAGTACAAATACGTGATTTTTAAGTTTTAAAAAACATACAGGGCTTCCCTGGTGGCGCAGTGGTTGAGAGTCTGCCTGCCGATGCAGGGGACACGGGTTCGTGCCCCGGTCCGGGAAGATCCCACATGCCGCGGAGCGGCTGGGCCCGTGAGCCACGGCCACTGAACCTGCGCGTCCGGAGCCTGTGCTCCGCAACGGGAGAGGCCACAACAGTGAGAGGCCCGCGTACCGAGAAAAACAAAAAACAAAAAACAAATGTACCACCTACAGAGATAAGTCTGTATCCAGTTTTCACACAACGACTTTATCTTCTTATCATGTTAGCTAGAAATTCCAAATAGCACCAAATGCTGAAGGAGATGGGCATGACTTTTGCCCGATTCCAGCAGAAATGGATTTAGCACGTTAACTACTTACTATAAACGTGATTATTAAGTTTCTGTTAAACAGTCTGTGAATACTGGCCTATTTTGCTAGAGTTTTTATTAGAAATGGCTGCTGGATTTTATCAGGTGCCTACCTGACTTATACCGGTAAGAAAATTATATGGATTTTTGCCTCCAATTTCTTGGTATAATTATTAGATTTTCAATTTCCTATTGGTTGGTACATTACTACAATGGTCTCATGACTCAAAAACCCACTTGGTCACGAAATACTGTTTTTCCACACACTGTGGACTCAGTTTGTAACATTTTCCTGGGGACTGTGACCTCAAGATTCACTAGTGAAGTGTCCTCCGTGGTTGTCTTTTTTGGACTAGCAATCAAGCTGGGGAGTTAGGTCATGCTGGACCCAGAAATGAACCAGGGGGCTCCCCAACTTGTCCTGTGGTCCAGTTCCAACAGCCTTAGAAGTTTCTGTTATTTAACTCAATCCCGGTGTAAAATCATGGCCCATATAGTTCTCAGACCTTTAATCACTTTTTCCAATCTCCGCCATGCTGACCCCCTTGCTCAATTTAGGGAGTCGGAATTAATCCCCGTCTACACAGCCTGCTCAGAGGTGGGCCAGGCATCCTCCTGCTCGTCCCTCATCCCCCCCAAACTGCTCTTTTCCACCCCCTTTTTTTTTATTTTCTGGCCGCGCCTCGCGCCTTGGATATCAGCTTCCCAACAAGGGACTGAACCCGGGCCACGGCAGTGGAAGCGTGGAGTCCTAACCACTGGACCGCCGGGAATTCCCGTCCCCTCTCTAATTTAGTCTTGCACTTTTCTGCTCTTTTTCCTTACTTAGGCTTATAAAGGCTAACCACTTTATTGGCTTTATTAAGAATACAGCTTATTTAAATTTTCCTGTCATTTTCCCCTTTCTGCACCTTTTAACTTTACAGCTTTCCTCCCTCTTACTTTTTTTGGCGTGCGCTTCTTTCCCTCATTTCTTTAGAAAGCTTTCAGAGGCAGAGCCCACAGGCAATTCTGAGAATGTGCCACACGCTTCAGAAAACTAGCACTTCTGTGTACAGGACACACTTTACTCCTCACAGGCAGCAAATACACAGCCTGTGGCATCGTTCAGCCCGGCTAAGCCCCAAGGCCCCTGCTGTCAAAGTCAACGCAGTGTGCTGAACTCCCTCACAAACATTTCGGCTCCCTGTACTCTAGTTTCTCCAAGGCAGCTTCAGGCTGCCGTGGGGCCTGGTGCCGGAGATTTCTCAGCCTTCCCGTCAACTCTACCTGCTTCATTTCCGTCACCGCCTCCCTGGCTGATACTCTGTCTCTGCTTCCCACCTGCCCGACCCCACTTGCCCACCCTTCTTTTCCGAGCCTTGACTCATCGCTTTGTCTTAGGTGTGTTTCTGGAAAACAACAAGAGTCAGAAGGGCTTTTAACCCAAACCTGACAGCCTTTCTTGAGGGTGTTCAGCCAGCCCCGCCACAGTAGCACCCAGTAAGTACCCTGAGCTCCGTTTCTTCCACAGTATTTTTACACATTATCACTCATGTTACTCGAGTTTCTCTATTTTATTTTCACTAAATGTAGACAAATTTCTAGCCACACTGTCTTTCTCCCGCGTAGCTGGGAAGTCCTTCTCAGGCCATTGGTCCGGCCAGTGGCTGCTGCCGCCCCATCCCCTCCCCAGGTTCCCCTCCCCGGTAACCAAGTGAGCTGTGACGCGCGACCCTCCAAGCCCAGATACCTCCTAATGCTTTATACCCGCGTGCGCCGCGTTAAACTTAAAACGTTTGTTTCTGCGTCTTCCCTCGTGTCTCTTAAAGCATCCAGAGGGCACTTACGCTACCAGCGCCAAGGCCACGAGCGTGACCCGCTTAGACTGGATGTTCGGCCCCCACCACCCTTCCTCCTCACCCTCCGTGACGGGACCTGTTTTCACCCACCCGTTCAGGACCCTGACGGCCCCGACGGACACTCTCGGATGTTCACGTCAGCACACCTTTCTTCCACCTCCCCACCAGCGCCACGAGCTTGGGACGCGCCCCCTTCAGAGTCCACGGGGAGCCACGTCCAGGACAGCAGCGCCTCCCCGCGTCTCCGGCTGGGGCCTCGCTGCTGCCAGGAGCCCACTCTCCCGGCCACGCTCACCGCCACCCCGCCTGCCCAAGCCCTCGAGGCAGAGGCTTCCGCTGGACGCCCGGAGGCACAACGGTGCAAGGAGAGGCCGTTAAATGCTTGCTGACTCAACGAAGTAAAGCTCTTTCACTTACCAGAGACCATCGTAGCTACTTGAAACTATCAAGGATCCATCGCGATTAAAGTGAACCTGAGGACGAAGGAGCGGGAGGGGAGAGACTTTTACTCTCAGAGCATCAGCACGGGCTGCGCCTCGCCTGGACGGCCCCCGGCCGAGGGACGCGCGCCCTGCTGCGTTCTGAGCCAGCTGCAAGGTCTGATCTCCCAAGGATGCTCACGCAGACCACAAGCAACGTGGACGAAACGGTCATTTTTACCTGGTGTCTCAAGCAACCGTCAGTTTGTTTCACGACGCAAGACTGAACCACAGAAAGAAAACCAACCCTGAAACACGTCTTGAGTATTCAAATCACTTACTACAAAACGCACCACTGAAGAGTAACAAACTCGACCAACCCAGACCTGCTGGCTCCGTGGAGAGGCCCCGCTGCCCAGAGCGTGCTGCCCAGAGCGTGTCTGTGGACCTGCATGGCCGTGGGGGCAGTGGGACCAGGGCTTCCCCGACTTCCATCGAACAAGGCAGAAAAGTCAGGAGCAGGATGCCCATTTTTTCAGAAACTCCAGAGCTTTCCCGCCCGCGTAACCCTGCCTGCTGAGCACCCCCAGAATCACAGGACGGCCAGGTTACTGCTCCGAGGGCCCGGACACCAACCCCTGGGACACTCGAGCTTTGCAGACGGGGCAGGAACAAGATCCAGGCTGCTCCAAACTCTGTGCCTGGGAACAGGTGCGATGTCCAGATCAGGTACCAGGCCCAGAAGCCGACCTGTGACACTTCCACACCAGTTATTTTATCTGAATGCCTAACTGCCCACTACAGAGACAGGCGAGATACACCTTCTGATAAAGAAATGGCAGCGTGAGCAGTCCCTTCCTCAGAAGTGGTTTATTGCCTTTGGGTCTGTCCTCTTTTTTTCCAACTGAATCTCAGTGTATACAGAAGGAATCACAACATCAGAAGTTAGAGCTCTTCATCAATTCCCATCGTCTTCATTTGAGTCCTGGGCAGGAAAAGCCTTTTTACAACACGCCACCCCCCACCGCTGGAACGCCCTCTTTCCTGCTACGTGATGCCTGTCCCATGGGGGTTCGCCCCCCGGGTCAACCTCTCGGGGACAGAGCTGGGGCTGCCCGCCTGCCTCCACGGTTCAGACCAGCGTCTGGTCCTCACACCACTGACACACAGTTCACACGCTCCTCTGCCATGGGCTGTCCCGTGTAGCAGCTCCCCCACCCTTGACTCACAAGATGCCAGTAGCATCTGGTTGTTGAAAACCTAAACGTCTCCAGACAGTGCCAGGCGTCCCCAGGGGACAAACCCACGTGTAGCAGAAGCACCTGGAGGGCTTGTCAAAGCCCAGCGCCGGGCCCCGAGAGTCTGCACATCCTGCACATTCCCAGCAGAGGCTGGTCCGGGGGCCACGCTTGGAGAACCACTGTCCAGACTGTCGAGGGGCCCGTGGTGGAGCCACGTGTGCCATTTCAACTTCTTGGCCGCTGCGGCAGGGAAGTCAGCAGGTGAAACAGGCCTGACAGGTTTTTACTTAACACAAAACGCACCGGAAATGCCACTTCGACACGCGACCGACGCTCAACGTTAGAGACGACACTTTACGTTCCTCCCGTCGCACTGGATCTTCAGAAGCTGGAAGCCTACATATCGCCCACTCCTGCATGTCTCAGCCTGCAGCGCTACCGTGTGTGGCTGGTGGCCCCCGCGTGGATGGCGTGGCCTGCAAAGAGCCGCTGTCACCGTCCTCGTTCTGCTCCCCCGGCAGTGCTGCCGGCGCCCACCCCTCCCCCCACTCAACCTGAGCCACGTGCTCGTCAGCCTCCCAAAGCCGTTTTCCCTAAAACTCACGGCAGCGGATCTCATCACACTCATCCCTCTGAACCTTCAAACTACGATCTGATCGAAGCCCCTTTGCTGGGTGATGACGAGCCGACACGGGGCCCCAAAGCCTGCCCCACCAGGGCCGCGCTCCGCTCTGTTCCAGCCATGTCCAGACAGCACCGCCGGCACACGCTGGCAGACCAGCGCGCGGGTGTGAGGGCAAGACAGCCAGAAAAGTCCGTGCTACCCAGAAGGAAGGGGGCGGTGAGAAAGACCCCAGTGGGGACGCCAAGTCTCGACTCAGACGGACAGCCGCTGAGCTCCCTGGAGGTGACACGTGCAGGCGCGCCGAGGAGGGAGAGAGTGGGCAAGTGAGGCAAATGCACAGGCCAGCAGCAGCGGAGAGGGGGCGGGATGGATTAAGGGGACAGCAGGGACTTCAGGAAAGCACTGATATGGGGGAGTCCAGGCAGGGGGACAGCCGCTGGACTCAACGGGGCGGAAGACCGCAGGAAGCCCACGCACCCCGAGGGCTCTGATCCAGGACTGGCCTCACAGAGGCTGACCGCTCGCAGACCCGGTGCTCCCCCGACACCTGCCCGCAGACGCTGTGGCACAAGCGTGCAAAGCTGTTCAACAGACGTGCGCTGCACTTCTCTCCATAAAGTGCAAGTCACAAGCCAGCGTCCACGGGGGGACGACAAGAGTGTCGAGCACCTGCAGGCACAGAGCCAGAAGGTGTCCGAGACCTTTCTGTGGTGCGCAAGCTGGAGCAGGATGCCGCTGTCCCGTAGCACCACCGCCATCCAACAAGAGGGGGTGGGCTGGAAAACACGCTCTTAAAAAACCACAACACCCAGACGGTAGCTGCCAGCTGCACGCAGTTGCCTCTGGGGATGGGAGCTCAGGAGGCTCTGATCTGCTACGCGCTACGTTGCCTCTTGCCTTTTTTAAAATAAGCACACGTTACTTTCGTAAGAAGCAAAGACTTTAAAAACCCTACCATCGTTTGCGATCAGAGCCCCATCCCTGACTGCAACACAGACAGAACTCTTTCAACTCATGGCCTTCACTCCGACTGCCTCCTGGTTACTTCACACGTGCCCATACTGCGGCCTGTCTGGAAGCCAGCTCGGCTCAGACAGGGCCCCCAGCGCGGAGGACAGAGGAGTGACGGCACAGGCTCAGGAGGGCCCGGGGCCCAGACGGCAGGGGCGCCTTTCCTGCAGCCGCAGGCACCGGCCGTGACACAGGGCCAGCACCGGGCCAGGCAGCCTCGACCAGCACACGTTACACATCCCCCAGGGGGTCAGGGCTCTGCCCACGGCCTCCGCTGGACAAAGGCCTTCCAAGGCTGAAGCCACTTAAAGTCACTCACCTGCACAAGTCTAGAACCTGAGGAGGACCAGGTCCTCGGTAACAGTGAACAAGCTGTTTATACGTGACCCCTTCCACTTTCCAAAAGGCAAACCTGGCTACGAAACCACTTCGGGCTCTTCGCTGACAAAGAAATACTTTGGCTGTTTGTAAATGGAGCCATTTATGACACGCGTGTAGTTTAACCCCTGCCTGTTCATCCTGTGCGCTGGTGGCAGCCTTGGACCGCACGTACAGCACGTTCGAGGGGCCCCACCTTCCCACCGCCTCACCCACGACTGGGCCACCCGGCCCCCAGGGCCCTCTGCCCGCCCACCCAAAGGTGGCTCCATGCAACACCCACGCTGCCCCCGCGCTCCCGCCTGTTCTGTAAGCCTCCGTGCAGGGACGCCTCCCCACCCCGCCTCCCACGGGCACGGGACCCTGAGCCCAGTCTCCGCTCACGGCCCCGCTGTCGGGCAAGCGCCACGACCTGGCTGGGCGGGGGGCACTCACGGCTGAGACGGGGTCCGAGTGCGCAGGCAGGGTCTTGAGGCACTTCCCCGTCTTCACGTCCCATATCCTCACGCTTTCGTCAAACTGGAGACAGAGGGGAAGGTGGCAGTCGTTCTCCGGGGGCACGGACGGGAGAGACTCGCTGGCCCCCGAGCCCCCAGAGCAGCCCAGGACGGCCCCCGGTTCACCCCCGCCCCTGGGGAGGCCCCAAACTCACAGAGCCCGAGACGATAAGGTTGGACTGGGGGTTGAAGTTACAGCAAAAGACGTAATTGCTGTGTCCCTTCAGGGTCTTCAGACACTTTCCCTGAGAGGGAGTATCGTGAGACTAAGTCACTCCCAGCGGCTGTTTCTGCAAATGTCGCCGTCAGCCTAAACCCATCAGCGGCTGACCCGCCACAGCTGCAAAGCCCCTCTGACGACAAGCACGGCTGCTCCCCAAATGCAGCCCCACCCCAAGCCCCTTCCCCAAACGCACACGCTTCCCAAGGAGGGGCCCATGCAGCTTACCGAGCTCACGTCCCATATCTTCAGGGTTTTGTCATCTGAGGCAGAAACAAGGAGGTTAGAATCTGAGGACCAGGCCACATCAGATATTCCCTGGGGAAGGAAACACACGGTCACTATCTCGGCAAAACGGGATTAGCCAGCAAAAGTCAAATCCTCAACGTCCAACTGGACATAACTAAGCAAGCCACTCCCTCTAGTTCGTGCTGACCAAACGGACTGAATCCGCAGGCCAGGCCCAGAAGCCTGTTCTCTGGGGCTCTGCCAGGCCTCACAGCTGGGCAGAAACTCATCTGGGGAGGTCAAAACTATTTGCTTGAAAAACAAGAGGCGGACTTCCCTGGTGGTGCATTGGCTGAGAATCCGCCTGCCAATGCAGGGGACACGGGTTCGAGCCCCGGTCCGGGAAGATCCCACATGCCGTGGAGCAGCTGAGCCTGTGCGCCACAACTACTGAGCCTGCGCTCTAGACCCCGCGAGCCACAACTACTGAAGCCCATGTGCCTAGAGCCCGTGCTCCACAACAAGACAAGCCACTGCAATAAGCCCGTGCACCGCAATGAAGAGTAGCCCCCACTCGCCGCAACTAGAGAAAGCCCCTTCACAGCAGTGAAAACCCAATGCAGCCAAAAATTAATTAACTAATTAAAAAAAACCCCAAGAGGCAAGTAACTATCCCAAAAATTGGGGGCAGGGAGGTTCAATCTTAACCTGACAAGCCCAGGAGATGGGCCCCAACCCACATCCAGCAGCAACTTCGGCCCAGGGTTGAGACCTACCAGCTTGTGACCAGAGATGGTTTTCTCAAATTTTCCATCATATGCTCCCCAAATCTTAATGAGTTTATCTGCAGCTGAAAGAAAGGAATGAAAAGTAACCGAGGTCTCCAGTCATCCAGGGGCCAAAATCTGGGCTGCCCACAACACAGGCCTCTCCTAGGGAGCCGCGGTCCTCGGCACCCACCCCCAGGCCTCCCCCCTGGCCCGGGCCCAGCCCTTCAGAGTCACAACCGGCAAGGGCACATCGAGGGGACACGCAGGGAAGCCCCGGGGGCACCTACACGAACTCGCCAGCCACTCCCCATTCGGGCTGAACTTCACGGAGGACACAGCTTTCGTGTGGCCAGCCAGGGTGAACTTCAGAGCGTAGTTTGGTTTAACAGGTGTGGGCTATTAAAGAGAGAGTACTAGTCAGAGAAGTGTAACCACGACTGTCCAAACCCACTGATCGCCGGTGTGGAGCCGGCGCCCAGGCCGAATTTCACGCTCACACCTACCCTGTGATGGCGCTTCCCAGAGCCCTCGTCCACCGGGGTGCACCCGCCTAAACCCGGGCTCCGCGTGTCCCCTCACAAGCCCTGCCTCTCCTGAAGCCCCCGTCACCCAGGCCGCCCTCCAGGCAGTCCCGCCAGTGCAGCTGGAACGTCCGGCAGCCCCAGCCCTGCTTCGGCAGCCCACCCACCCAAGGTCAGGCTCCCCGACGCACACCTGAAGGCCTGCGCCCTTGGTGAGAGGCCCGCCTGCGGTCTACAGGAGGGGTTTGCACACCGCCCTCCGCAGGGAACTGTGCAGGCCAGGGGCGAGGTGCTGAACAAGAGGCGTTTCCCGGGTCCCACACAGACTCTTACAATCAGGACCAAGGATGTGTACTGCTGGTGAAGCCCCCTCCCCAGGTGACAGGTTGGGAATCCCAACACGGCCCACCATCAGCACTGGCCTGGCTGGGAATGTAGTTTGGAGTAAAAACTGGCAATATTTAAGTGGGGGGGAGGGGAGGGGAGACAGTTCCGGGCGTGAAATATTCCCGAGGGTCTCCCAGCCTTTGCGCCCAGGAGCCCGCAGGGACGTGCCTTGCTCTGCGTGGCCGATGACGACGGGGTGGGCTGTGCCCGGGCGGCCTCGGCCTCGGGCTTCTTCTCCTCGGTTGCCATGGCTCTGCAGCCCACCAGGCAGGGCGACGCGGGTAGAGTTCACAGCTCCGAGTGGAGGACGCACAGTGGCAAGGGCTGTCTGCTAATCCAAACCTACAGCGGGGGACCGAGGCCAACAGACAAACCACACTTCAAAAATTAATTTCCAGGAAAAAGAATTTTAAAAATCTGACCACCTCACTGAGCCCCGTAGCAGGTGCCGCTCCAAACTAAGCGTCCTCTGCACATAACTCCTCGCTAGTCCTTTGCAGGTACTGTGCTGCTCTCGTCCTTTCTGTGATCAGAGTCCAAGACCCACCTTCAGGGGTGCTTCCTATTTGGTTACCCACATGTCTGAAATGCAGCACAGTCCAGGCAGACAAAACGTAATTCTCTTCAAAGAGCCCTTGATGCATTAAAAACAAAAAAAAAATCAACCAAAGACTTCTTGTCAGGAAACAAACACGCCAAATTACAGGAGACTGAGCTACAGGGTGCAGAAGTTTGGGAACTCATCCAAATCCTTAAATGCATCCCAAGTGATGCAAAAGTGCTAACAGCCACGTTTGAAAACACAAGAGCAGGCCCCAGTGGTCCACACCTCCCGGGGACTCCAAGGTCACCATGTGTAGGCGGCAGACACAAGGCTGCTTCCAAAATGCTAACAGCCGAGAGGCTCTCCGTCCCTGGTGCAGCAACGACAAGACACAGGCGGAAAGCAGAATGGAGCCGCCCCGCCTGTTGGAGTCACCAGCGCCAGCCTTCCCGGAAGCAACCGGAAGTGCGCGAGGACACTCTGCAGAGCAAACTCACTGCAGAGGACGGAGAGAGACTGCAGCTCAGTTAGGTGTCAGCATGGAAACGGGAAGCCCTCAAACGCTGCACCTGGTTTCCTCTATCACAGGAACAGACTCCGCGACTTGGACACGTGGCACAGAAGTACGCCAGGTGACTCTGAAACAAGGGAAGGCGCCTTTCCAGAGGAGAGCCAACAAGACATCCTGCAAGCATCACTGGCCAGCCAACTCCCGGAAGCTGGCACCACCGTTAATCCAATGCATTCACACCTTGTAAATTCTAGCTCGGCGCTTAAAACTGGAAGCTTGCACGGGCTCCTTGTTGCACCAAAGCGGGACAGAAGCCATCAAAAAGAGCACATCCCAAAGTCTTCATCCAAGAGGAGGGGAGCGAAATCACAATGCCACACAGCTGTGCACAGCACCCCATGAGGCCACAGCTGGTTACCAGCAACAAGGATCCCAGCCCAGGAATGGATCTGGCAGCACTCAAAGCCCAAGCAGTAGGGTGGGGTAGGGGAGGGGCAGGTCAATAAAGCTGGTGTGTGTGTGTGAGTGTGTGTGTAGGGGAGGGACAGGTCAATAAAGCTGGTGTGTGTGTGTGTGTGAGTGTGTGTGTAGGGGAGGGACAGGTCAATAAAGCTGGTGTGTGTGTGTGTGTGTGTGTGTGTGTGGTGCTAGCACAAAGCTGGTGCTCAGGAAACGCTGCCTACCTGGTGATTAGCTTTAGCGCAAGCAGGCCGTGCCAATTAACCCAGGTGCTGTCTTCCCCTGGGTGGGATGGACAAGTCGGGGGAAAGGAGCCAAGGACGAGAGCTGGATGGTCTGTTTCACAGAACCTAGCATCTGAGAAAGGCAGACCACAACTAGGGCTCAGAGGAGGGAAGCCCAGGGCGCGTCCAAACTAAACACCAGTGGGAACTGAAGAGGTTCCATCTGGGGTGGAAAGGGCAGCCCAGAGGCCTGAGCAGCTTCTTCTAGAGTAAAAATCAAGACCCGCCAGATGTGGTGTAACTTGCTGCCCTCAGGTGAGGAGCTGGGAATACATACGATAGGTGGTCTTACAGAAAAGGTGCCCAGGGCTTCCCTGGTGGCGCAGTGGTTGAGAGTCCGCCTGCCGATGCAGGGGACACGGGTCCGTGCCCCGGTCCGGGAAGATCCCACATGCCGCGGAGCGGCTGGGCCCATGAGCCATGGCCGCTGAGCCTGCGCGTCTGGAGCCTGTGCTCCGCAACGGGAGAGGCCGCAGCGGTGAGAGGCCCGCGTACCGCAAAACAAAACAAAACAAAACAAAACAAAAAAAAACAGAAAAGGTGCCCAACCCCTCCCAGCTCAACCCCTGCCCAACACTTCAGCCAGCAAAACGTTAACACACAAAACATCAACACAAAAATTCAGCAAACTTTTAGAAATACAACTTCTCGACTCAACGTTTGGAGCCGGCCTCCAGGTCACTTGCTACCTACTCCCTCTTGGCACCTCGGTGAGCCACACCACCCAAGGCTGAGCGTTCGGAGAGCTTCGGAGTAAAATGCAAATTACTAGGCTCCACCCCAGAGACTGGGCTGCTGGGTGTGGGAAGAGGGGCGGTAATGAGGCCCACTGAGAGCGAGGGAACCAGCTCTCCGCACCCCACCTGGACTCTCAGACACGCGGGCGTTCTGGCTTACCTCTCCGCCTCCTACGGGGCCGGGCCAACCTCAGAAGCAATATCGACAGCGGACCTGGGCGGGTAGAAACGGCGTGAGAGGGCTACCAGGGAGCATCTTCCACATCCCCCAAAATGGCTCTCGCAGGCCAAACTAGAAGGGGTCTGAGACTCCACAGCAAGAGCGTGGTGGTCTCTCCCTTCATGCCGGCAGCCCCGCACCCCTGGGGCCCCGGGCTCGCGCGGGGGGAGATGGGGCCTGGCTGCCCCCGGCTGGGGGTGAGCAGCAGGTTAGGGTGAGGGCGGCTCTGCAGCAGAGAAAAGCAGACAGCGCGCCACATCCAGGCAATGGATGGCTCGGTGGCCCAGAGGTCTTTCTCTGGAGGCAAAGCGGGGAGGCACGCCGGCTGCAGGAGGAAGTCGCAGTCCTAGGGCCGGGGGCTTGTCACCTGACCGCTGGGGGCGGGAGAAGCCGGGGGGTCCCCGGGGCTCGGCGGTCCGTGCGGGTCCGTTTGGGGCTGGTTCGGGTCAGGGGAGGAGGCCGCCGGGGCCCGGTCGCTCGGCGGGGAGGAGGGACGCAGAGCGGACACCCGGAGGCTAGGCGGCGGGCGCGGGGCTTCTGCGCCGGGAGGCCCGGCGGCGCTGAACCGGCGCCGGGCCGGGCCCGCCGGAACACGTGCGGCGGCGGGCGGCGCGGGGGGAGCCAGCGTCTGTCCCGGTCCCGCACCCCCGGGGCGTGCCTGCCGGCCGAGCGGTCCCCACTTACCTGCCGGTCGGCTGGGGGACGGGGGCGGGCGTTCAAGGCTTCGCGTCGGCCGCCGCCTGGGCGGGAGCTCAACTAGGCGGTGCGGGGAGCAACAGTGCGCGTGCGCGCGCGCGCGGGGCGGGGACTGCCGGGGCGGGGCAAACGCACAAAGCCGGCCTCTCGGAGGGCAGCTACGGCGAGCGGAGAGGAGCAGAACGCCTCGGCATGGCTCAACGCCTTAAAGGGACAGTGTGCTGCCCGTGCCTCCTGCTTACAGGCGTTAACCCCAAAGGCGGCCGGTTCCAGCCCTTCTCCTGCACTTTCTGAAAACTGAAGTAGGAAGAAGATACACATAGAGGAAATGCTCATGTGCCCCTCGATTGTTCACATCCTGAGCTCGCCCTGCAGCAGCGCCCAGGGAGGCGAGAGCACCCCGCCCCCGAGATTCGCGGGGCGGCGGGGCCCTAACGTTTCTCCTGGGCTGGGGCACCCGTGCGGTCGCGTCCCTCCGTCGTCGCGCACGCTGGGGAGCGGCGGCTACGGCGTCCAGAGCGTCCGACCGGCCCCGGCGGTGTCTCCGCGTGGCGTCTCCATTAATCTCGGGACACCCCCGTACAGGGGCCCTTACCTTCCAAGTTTGAAGCGAAGAACCTGAGCTCCAGAAGGTTCAGAACCCGGGCTCTGGAAGCTGCGTCCCCCGCACTGCGCCCACCAGCTCTCCCGCAAGGCCGACGGCCGGGTTATCCGGGTCTTCCCGATCCCTCCGTGCGGAGAGCCCGCGGGGCGCACCTGCTCCCTCCTGAGCCCCCAGCGCGGAGATGAGAACAGTCACTGCGTGCGGGCTGCTCTGCTGTCTGCAGGGTGATGGCCCAGACAGGTATTACCACCTCCAGTTACAAGTGGGGAAGGGGAGGCCCGGAGAGGAGGGCTCAGGGGCACAAGGAGAACCCGGAGCCGGCGTTCTGGCCCCAAAGCCTGCGCATTCTCACCCCACTGCCCTACTTCTGCTACCCGCATAGGTCTTAGAGTCGTGGATGTTCTCCGCAGCCCCATTCAGGCCCGTGGGTAGAGTAACATGCAGTCTCTTATTTCCCAACTAAAAATGGGAACGCCAAATAGGACACAGGAACCCGGGCAAACAAAAGGACAGAGCATTTTAAATGGAAATGACCATGGAAAATGAGTTGTGTGGTTGTCATAGATACAGGAGCCACGACTGACAAGCCGGCTGGAGTGCCCCTACCAAGAAGGATGCGGGGGGAGGGGCGGGGGGAGGGGAGCAAAGTACCAGTTTGGCCCCGCCTGGCCGGATGTGGATCTCTGTGCCCTGCAGCCCTAGTCATCTTAGGCCAGGTGCCCTGGAGCATGAGGCCTTGACTACAAAAGGTAACAAAATCAGCTCCGGATGAAAAAGGGTATCTGCATCCACCTGGCTGCCTGGGCCGGAAACAGCCCATTACGTAGACCCCTCCCTCACCTCTGTGACAGCTCTTACAGCCATCCTCTCCCCTCCCTCCATCCCTACCCCAGTCCCACCTCCCAGCTGGCCTCTTCCAAACCTCTCCGAAGCACTGTCACTGTCAGAAGAACTTATAAGACCCCAGGTCTGATCTGTCACTCCCCAGTTTACGACTCAGAGCCGGCTTCCCATTGCCCTCGGGTCCAAACCCAGTCTCTGCTGGCGGGGTTTACCAGACTGGCCTCCCCCTGTAGCCTAATGCCACCCCCAGACTGTGCACCCCGGATCCCAGCCCCAAATCGGAAGTCCTTCCTGACCCTGGAACTCAACTCAAACCAGGCTCCCAGATAAATCCGTCTTGCCTTCCCCCCCGACCCCAGGAGATAGAGCCTTCTAGTTAAAATGAGAAAATCTTCTAAATCTGTTGAGTGTTTTTGGGGTCATAGCTAAAATCCTGAAACCAAATAACATAGCAAGTCAAGCAATTTAACAAAAGTAGGTGATATTTTTTATTGTCTTAAGTTTTAAATCCTTTTATAACCCTCCCCAAATGCGGTCAGGCTCAGAAAAATCACAAGTGGAAATGGAAGAGAGAATAAAAACTAGAGAAGGAGAAAACATTTTGGAGATTCGTTTTTTAGAACATTTATAACTGTGCTTTGGCCAGCGGGAGCTAATTGGCAAAGGAACCTGTTTCCGTGAACGATTTCTATAAATACAACATATCTCCAGGCTGTCCCATCAACCAGACAACCGGAGCATGTCTGGGCACCCTCCCGACTCACCCAGCTCCCTCCACCAGGCTCTCCTGCTCTCAGGGCACCCTTCCCACCGACAGCCAACGTCCATCCACTTGGGCTTCCTCCCCCGAGCCCCAAACCTGGTGAGTCTTCCTGGCTACATTTTCACGGCTCCCAGCTCCTCCTCAGCAGAAACACTCTTCTTTCATCGTAATTCCTTGTTCAGCGTCTCCTGGCTAAGCTGCGTCGGGGTCCTCGTCACAGCACTCTGCGCAGGTGGCCCAGGATGAGAGAAAGCACCTGCGTGCTTTATTCTTTAGTAAGTTTGTTACATGTTACCTGCCTGCACCTGCACCTTCACAGCAAGCCTGTGAAGTAAGTGCCTTAATTCCTTTTCACAGTGAGGAAACTGAGGTTGAGAATAAGAGAGGTTGAGAAGCTTCCCAAGGACCCATAGGCAGTAGGCACAACCATGGAATTCAGGGCTGGCAAGGCAGAGGCTGCACTCGCAACCACCATACTACACAATACACACTCAGTGGTGCTTATCGGATGGACGGGTGGATGGATGGATGGTGGGTGGATGGATACGTGGACAGATGGATGGATAGATGCGTGCATGGTGGATGGTAGGGTGGATGGATGGAGGGATGGATGAATAGCAAAGGAGCAACCTCTGTCAACGGGAGCCATCAGCAAGGGTCTACGGAAGCGGCAGAGCTGAAATGGAGAACATCACCTTCTTATAGGACTTGAAGCTTTTGAAAAACCATATTTTGTCACCTAGTGATAAATATTTCATCAGGGACAGCACTCGATCAGGGCTTGCCAGGAGGTGACAGAGGAACAGATGACACGGCAGACGTGGCAGGAAGGCTGTGACGCTCCCCACAGTGGGCAGGACGCTGGGTGGGCAAACTGGCCCTTTAATGGCCAGGCCCAGAGCTCTGGATTCCATGGCAGTTGATGAGGGAGGGTCGTGGAAGACGCCCAGGACCCAGGGCTTCCAGGCACTGCTCACCGGATTTCCTGACTGGACAGGCCACCTCTGCTGGGCCACATTCCAGGGAGCGGCTGACGCTGCCCGGAGACCCCAAGGCTCCTGCCAGCCAAGGTCAATGGGGTTTTGTGTTAAAACTCCTTTTCCCCTGGTAACTATGCCAGGGCGGCTGGTTTGGGAGACTCTGTCCCCCTTTTCCCTCCCTGATCTCTGCTCTCCCTTTCCCACACCTCCCCACAGTCCATCAGGACAGGCAGTTGCCCCTCGACCCCTGGGGCCCAGCGGCCCGCAGCTCTCAACACTGGTGCCCAGAAAGCCACTTCTAGTCCTAACTGTGCCACCCTCCTTCTCTTCCTCCCCTGGCCTCACTTTCCTGGGTACAGAAAGAGCAGATCAGACAGCAAGAATACCAGCTTTTGACATTGGCAAGATTTCTCCTGGTGAGCTTCCCTCCTTCCATGGCCTTTGCCCAGTGTAGCCCCCAGCCCCACGTATCCTTCCTTGTCTCCCTTCCCCCTCCCACTGGCTAGGAAGCACCCCTGCATGGCCTCCCCTCCTGGTGCCACCCTCCCTGAGGTCAGCCCTGTAGGTTGCTCTCCCCAGGGAGACTGACCATCCAGTTTGCCTCGCACTGTCCTGTCTCAGAACTGAAAGCTCTCATCCCCGGCAGCCCCTCCGTCTCAGGGAAGCGGGGATGGTCACCTGAAGCCACCTCCCCACTTCCATCACTCCTGTGGGCTCATAGGAGCAGGGGTGGCCCGTCTGGGCTGAGATGCCTGCTGGGAGGGGACTCAGTAGGGGATAGACCCTCCAGATGAATGAATCCTGGAATGTTCGATTTCACTTCCAGTTGGATTTAAACCTACGCTCACTTGTTGGAAAGTCCCCACCACGAAACCCCTCTGCCTCGAGCCTCCGCCTGGCTCCAGGCCTGGGTGCCTCCGGGTGGGCCCTCTCCAGGTGGAGCTGGGTGCTGCGGGCACCGGTCTGGCCCGGAGCCAGGCTGGGCGGAGCGCCGGGCAGGAATCCGCGGAACGCGGCTCCCACTTCCAAAGCCAGGCCCCACCTGTTCCGGTCTGCAAATGGTCTGCAAATGCCCCTCCCCGCCTCGGCCTGGGTGAACTCCCCCTGGTTAGAGAGGGTCCCAGCAGCGAGAAAAGAAACAGCTCCTGTGGCAGGCAAGATGGAAATCAGAGGCCCAAAAAGCCAGGGAATATTTTTCAAAGGCCTTAGAGGTTTTTTTCCGGGTTGGCGGGGGTTGGGGGAGGAGGAGCCGGTGTGGATTGTGCAGCAGCGGCTTATGGAGCCCTTTTTAAGGGATGTGAATTCGGCTACTGGTCTCCCACAGGTGTTTCCCCGGTCCTGTCAAACTATTTCCATTTGTCCCTGTTATAAAACCCACTGCAGCTGCCCTTCCTGAGCCCCTAATGTGTGCCTTTCTGAGTCCTCCTGGCCCGAGGATTATAAACACGGTCCCCTTAAATCCCAAACGTGGTGGTAAGCTATTCTGAGGTTCACAGATAAGGAAAATGGAGGCGCAGAGGGTCCCAAGGCCAAAGCGAATGGCAGAGCTGGGGCTTGACCCCGCCCTCGGCCTTGAGTCTCCCGCGCGTGCCACCAGCCGCCCGCCGTTTTCCGTGCGTAGATACGGTTTCCTCGTAACTGTAATCACAGCCGTCCTGCAGTCACCCTTCCTGCTCAGCGCCTGTCGCGGGCTTTTCCCACGTCACCCCGCGCAGCGCTCTCCATCCCCTTCCCACGGCCGCGGTGAGCCCCGGGCTGCACGCTTGGGCCGTTGCCAGGGTTTCACGTCTGCAAATTGTTTCTGTGGGATAAGATCCAGGAGCCCGACTGGGTCGCAAGTTGGGAACATTCTCGACGGGACACGTAACCCAGGGAAAGGGTGAGGCCAGGGAAAGGGTGACCTTCGTGTGGGCGAGCAAGCATGCCAACCCGGGTGCGCCCCTCTCCCGGGTGCTGGAGGCCACCCCAGGGCCGCGGAAGAGC